TGTGCGGCGGCTCGGCCGAGGAGGAGCGGGGCCGGGAGCGCGGCCGGGCCGCCGCCGCCCCCCGCAAGCTGCCCACATTCCTGGGCGTTGTGGTGCCCACGCTGCTCTCCATGTTCAGCGTCGTCCTCTTCCTGCGCCTCGGTGAGTGCCGCCGCCCCCGGGCGACCCCCGCTCCCGGCCGCGGCCCGAGGCCCCCCGAGAGTCACCAGCTCTGCCTGGTACCCCCAGCCCGGCCTCCGTCTAATCCCGGAGTCCCCGCGTCTGGAGCCCCGAGCCACCCAGTCTGGGTCGCCAGTACCCTCCCAGTGCCCTCTCCTGAGCCTCCATCTCTGCTGCAGTCCCAGTGCTCCCCTCCAGTTCGTACCCCAGTCCCCACAGTCTGGGGCCCTCGTGCCCTTCCCCTGCCCGCTCAGTTCCGCCCCGACCTGGGGTCCCAGTGCTGTGTGTCCCCACCTGACCCCGCTAGGCTTGGGGACTTGGGTCTCAGGACCCAGGGACAGGAACCTGCAGGACAGGAACCCAGTTAGGACCGTAGGGACCTCTGTAAGGGACACAAATTCAAACCCTGGTGTTCCTGGAGCAGGACTCCCGTGTCTTCCCAGTGTCTTCCCTAAACGACATTCCAGTGCCCTCATGTCCACCTGTCCCCTAATGCTGGGACCCCGCTGCTTCCCAGGCATCCTCCAGTGCCAGGCTCCAGCACCCCAGTTGTCTCCCGCATCCCACCCAGCGTCCCAAGGGGCAGAACCGTGGTATCCCCCAGCAGATACTCAGCTGCCCCTCTGTGTGCAAAGGGCACACATTGTTTTCCAGTCTGCCCCCAGTTTGGGTTATGAGTCTGTTACTGAGACCCCTGGGAGATGTAGGGAGCAGGATGGACATGGACTGGGGCAGCTGGCAGCCTTCTGGGGAGCCCTGAAGGGGGTAGGTGCCCAGCATGGCCCGGGGCAGGCGGGGGCGGGCAATGTTTGCCGTGGTCCGGGAACGGGAAAAGCTTTTCCTCTTTTGCTTTCCGCCCACGAAAAGCCCAGGGCGGGAGTTGGCTGCGTGCCCGGGTGGCCTCGCTGGGCCATGGCAGGGGGTGGGCTTTGAGACCATTTCCCTGTCTGGAGACCCCCCCAGGCTGGGGGCACGGCGCTCTACTGGCATTATTCACCACTTCCCCACTCCCCTGCTCGGGGTCTTCATACAGGCCCCAAGCCCGCAGCGAGAACCGGCGTCTCCCTGCCCGCCCGGGGCTGTGTTACCCGGGGGACCACGGGACTGTCGGGAAGGTGTCGGGTGGAGGGGAAGGAAAGCTGCCAGGAAGAGGAACTTTCCCACTCTGTGGGGCCAAGGCTCTCCCTGTCAGCTCCCCGCTTCCCCCACACCTCACATGCTCCCCAGATCTCCTGGCTTAGCAGCCCCTTCTATTTATGCCCATAGTGCTATTGGGGCATCCCTTTATTTCCACCAACACCCCCACCCACCCTTACATTTGGCACTCGGATGCCCTCCGGCTCTCTAGGGACCACAGCAGGTGACCCCAAAGCCAGCCTGTCGCCTCAAGGGTTGCTTGCGATGCCCGTGCCCCGGTCACCCGGCCTTGCCTTTCCCGCGGGCACATCCGCGGCTTGGCTTGTGGCTGAGATAGGGCATCGCCCACAGCCGCGGGCATCCCCTTCCTGCCCGCAGTGTCACCAGCCGGGATCGCTGCCGTCACCCCAGGCAGCGCCGAGGGTCTCTGGGCCCCCTCTCTAAGGGAACACCCACCCAACCCCCGGGAGCAGTGCCGTGGCTGGCAGGGACTCCCGGACTGCTTCTGCTTCCTGTTGTTTTGTAGGCAAGTGGGGAAACAACACTGACTCTCCACTCTGGGGAACAAGGGTGGCAGCAGGGCACAGAGGTCCCAGCAGCAGAGCCCTTTCCTTTTTGTTTGGGTTTGGGGCACACCTGGGCCACACACGGGTGGAAGATGGAGAGACCCTGAGGGAGGGGGACACTGGCAGGTGCTGCTGTAGGTGGGAGGTGGGAGCATCCTCATCCTGGAACAGAGGGGGCTGGCAGATCCTGGGGGAAGCTGTGGGCACAAGGATGGGGGTGGCTGCATGCCTCAGTGGGGTGATGTCTGTGTGGTGGCACGTCTGTGTGGTGGCAGTGCCCAGGGGCTCTGTCCTGCAGGTTGAGCTGTCCATGCTCAGCTAATGGGCATACTGGCCTCCTCTCCCATCCTTGGCAGGGTTTGTGGTGGGTCATGCTGGGTTGTACCAGGCCCTGGCCATGTTCGCAGTGGCATATTTCATCATTGGTATGACGGTGCTCTCTGTATGTGCCATTGCTACCAACGGGGCACTGGATGCTGGAGGAGCCTACTGTATCCTTTGCTGTGGTGCTGCTGGGATAGGACATGTGGGACAAAGCTGAGTGACTTCCCAGTGGCCTTGGGATGCCGTGCTGGGGCTGGGACTCTGTTGGCCTGGGAGAGAGGGGTGAGAGCATCTGATGGTGGTTTGTGCTGTTGACATCTTTCCTTGACTCGAGCAAGATATGATCAGCCGTGCCTTGGGCCCAGAGTTTGGGGGCAGCATCGGGATCATGTTTTTTCTGGCCAATGTGTGTGGCAGTGCCCTCTATGTGCTGGGGCTGGTGGAGGCAGTGGTGGACAGCTTTGGGATCCCGCCTGGTGAGTACCTGTGTGGGTACAGCAGATGTCCCTTACCTGAGCAGCCCTGGTGATGTGCCAGGCATGCCAAGCACCATGCCCAGCATAGCCAGCCATGGCTCGCTCACCCAGGCCTCTGGCCAGTGAATTGGTGCCCGTCATGCCTGACACAATGGTGGTAGCTCTCAGCTCCCAGTGATGCCTCCGAGCCTTGCTGATCCTGACTTGTCTGCCCAGGGCAAGAAGCGGGCACAGGCGTCCATGTCCTGCCCCAGAGCTACTGGTATGAGCTGCTCTACGGCACTGTGCTGCTGGCGCTCTGCCTCCTCGTGTGCCTCGTGGGTGCCTCTATCTATGCCAAGGCCACTTTCCTCATCTTCCTCATCGTCGCAGTTGTCCTGGGCACCATCCTTGTCAGCTTCTTCGCCACACGGCCCCTGAAGGTGCCCATCCGCCTGCCCAACGGCAATAGCACTGAGACCGATAATGGCTTCTTCACCGGCTTCTCCCTCAACACATTGCGAGACAACCTGCATGGTGAGGAGGGGCTTCCCTCACCCTGCCTGCCATGCCCACTGGCACTGCCCCATCCCATGGGGCTTGCTGGAGGGTGGGGGCAGCTTGTGGGCACAAAGCAGGTGCTGTGGGGTGGTTTCTCCTGTAGTTTTTGTGTGGAGAATCGAGGAGAGGGCCTGTGGTGGGGCTGTGCCACCTTGGACAGCCTGTCACAGCCCCTGCCTGTGTGTCCTGTAGGTGAGTATAGGGTGGACTACACCACCGGGCAGATGATGAGCTTCAGCTCCGTGTTTGCAGTGATGTTCAACGGCTGCACTGGCATCATGGCAGGCTCCAACATGTCAGGTACGGACAGAAGAGGTGCCTGGCAGGGTGGCACTGGGAACAGGAGCTGAGGCTGGGAGAGATCAGGGGTGTGCTGTGCCTGTGGGCATTAATGCTGCCTGCTCCTGCCCACAGGGGACCTGAAGCGCCCGAGCTACTCCATCCCACGGGGCACCATCTCTGCTGTGCTCTTCACCTACCTCGTTTACAACCTGCTGGCTTTCCTCATGTGTGCCACCTGCAACAGGTACAGCCACCTGTCTGCATGCCAGGGTGTGTCTGCTGCCAAGGCATGCTGGCCTGGGCTGAGACGGATCCCGGTGTGTGTCTGTGTCCCTCTCCAGGATCCTCCTGCAGAAAGACTATGGCTTCTTACGTGACATCAGTATCTTCCCACCGCTGGTCACTGTGGGCATCTATGCTGCCACTCTCTCTGCAGCCATGAGCAACCTCATTGGGGCATCCCGCATCCTGTATGCTCTGGCCAGGGATGATCTCTTTGGTGAGTGCCCAGACTGCACTGAGACTCATTTGAGCCCACTCAGAAGGTTGTTCCTGCTGGGGACCAGTGCTGACACCAGGGAACTCCCTTCTTGGTGTGGAGGTGATGGTTTGTGGTTTGGTGTGGGCCATTTGGGTCACCTGCATGCCCTGGAATTTGCCGCCGCCCCAGCACTCAGGCTGGGGATGGAACTCCTGGCTGGTGGTTGAAGCTGTGGCTGCCTGCTGGGGTGTCCCAGCCCAGCCTCTCTGCTCTGCCTTGCAGGCCGGGCACTGGCGCTGGCCAAGAAGACATCTGCCAGTGGGAACCCAGTGATGGCAGTGATCCTCTCCTGGTTGGTGGTGCAGGTGAGTTTGTCAACGATGCTTCCTTCCTGGCCTCGCTGGGTGAAGATTGGTTGTCACCTGGGCTGGATGTTGTGGAGCCTGGCACATCCCCCTGCCCCTTGCAATTCCTCCCACAGCCCCTCTGCCCTGGGTGTCCTGCTGCAGTAGTGCCCTTTCCTCCCTGGGGTGGGAGGTATCCCATAAATCAAGGATAAATCACAAAAAGGGAAAGGGATTCCTGTTTGTACCCTTACCCATCCTTACCTTACCCAGGGTGTATCCCTGGGATACACCCCAAGTGGACAGGGATGGCTTGGGCACAGGCCTCATGTGCTGTCCCAGGGTATGCATTCACTCTGTGCTCTCTGCAGATTGTGCTCTTTTCTGGGAAGCTCAACACCATCGCAAGTGTCGTGACAACCTTCTTCCTCCTGGTTTATGCCACTGTCAACCTGGCCTGTCTGGCACTAGAATGGGCCTCGGCCCCCAACTTCAGGTACCCACTAGCACAGGGGAGAGGGGCTGTGCTGAGATACTTGGCAGGCACCCATCCCTCCAGTCCTCTATCTGTGATTCCCCTGCCATCCCTGGGCCTGAGATTTATTATGAGGGGGTAGGCAGACATGCTGAACACCCTTCTCCTGGGCATTAGAGGGACAGAAACACCCCTATCCCTGGGGAGGGAGAAGGGGACATGTCCTGGAATGGCATTGGTTTGGTTCTCGTGCACTGGCACTGCTTTGCTGAGTGGGTACAGATAAATCCAGCACCACTGGGGACCACCCACCCCCTCCCCTTAGGCTTTCCAGAGGTAATTTATAGCCTGTGCCCGGCCGGCATCCCCCGGGCAGTTTGCCAAGCAGTGATGGAACCCACTTTCCATTAGCGCTAATTAAACTAACAGAGAAGGGGGAGGGAAGAAGGGGGATTCTGGGTGGGAGGAGGAGGAAAGATTTTCCAGGAAGAAGGAGTATGTGTGGCAGGCAGCCCCAGCCTGGGGTGCAGGGTGTGGGGTATTCTGGTGTAAGGCTGGGCTGGTACGGCTGCCCAAATCTGGGGTGCAGGGAATGGCTGGGGGGAGTCTGATCTCCCTCCTGGGCGATGCCTACTGCCCTCAGTGCAGGATGCTGACTCCACAGCAGGGAGAGTCCCCCAGGTGGGCAGAGGTGTTCCACAAGTAGGGCTGGGTGGTACTGCCTGGGAGTCCCCCAGAGGCCCCATTCCCAAGGGAGAACTGATGCCTGTGCCAGGCTGTGGCTTGGCCCCCACCCGCCCCACAAGCCCAGCTGCTTCCTTGACTTGGCACGGAGCGGGGCAGGATCAGTGCCTGAGGTGAGCCTGCTGGGGTAGGTAGCAACAGGCCCCTCTCCCACCCTACATCTGGTGCCTCCCCCCTCCCCTCACTGAGGTCTCTATCAAGCACAGCGGAAAAGGATTTTAATTACCTTTCAGGAAAAACAGCAATTAGAGAAAATAACAGCTTCTCGCCTCCCTGCCTCTGCCTCCCTGCACCAGAATGAGCAGGCAGCATGGCTGCTGGTGCTGCCATGCACTGCCCAATACTACTGGGGTGTGCCAGGACAGTGCCAGCCCCATGGCCATCATTGCTCTCATTGCCCAGGGCTGGCAGCAACAGGCTGCCCGGTGCCCTGGGAGATACCATCTCCCCTCCATAACCTCTCCTTCAGGCACATGGGGTGCCCGACATGCCCTGGGCTGGAACAGTGGAACATTGGGGTGGGTGGTGTGACCCTTTGGCACAGCTCCCTTTGCTGTGCCCTCCCTACAGGTAGCATGGGCACCACATGATAGCAGGTGTCTCCTCCTCCCTGCTGCAGGCCCACTTTCCGGTACTTCACCTGGCACACGTGCCTGCTGGGCATCGCAGGCTGCTGCGTCATGATGTTCCTCATCAGCCCCGTGTCAGCCTCAGCGAGCCTTGGCTTCCTCCTCCTCCTCCTCCTTGCCCTTCACTACCTCTCACCCAGCAGCACCTGGGGCTACATCAGCCAGGCCCTCATCTTTCATCAGGTAAGCCCCTGTCCTCCTGTTGTCCCCTTACACTGGAAAGCTGGTGTCCCTGTGGCAGCTCATCTGTGTCCTGGGCAGATGTCCTCAGGACTGGCATCCCCAGGGGGTGGGTTGGTGAAACAAAAAGGGTTTCCTCACCTGTTTCCCTCCCCCTGCCCTCCAGGTGCGGAAGTACTTGCTGATGCTGGATGTCCGGAAGGACCATGTCAAGTTCTGGCGCCCGCAGATGCTGCTGATGGTGCAGAACCCGCGAGGCAGCGCCCGCCTCATCGACTTTGTCAACGACCTCAAGAAGAGCGGCCTCTATGTCCTGGGCCATGTGGAGCTGCAGGACCTGGGTGAGGATCTGCACTGTCTCCTGTGCTCATGGCTTCTGCACTTTGCTGTGGTGCCAGGGGACTGCCCAGGCTTCTTGGGCTGACGCTGATGCCCAGTTGATGGCTGGGGAATTGTCAGCATTTCGGGCACATGTGTGGCACATTTGGCTTAGTGGAATTGTGTCTGTCCTGTGCCTCCTGTGCACATACACTTACACACACATGTGCACAAGTGTCCATCCCTACACGTGCCCATGGGGCTCCTGCATGTGTCGGTGCTGGTACATCAGGCATGTGCCAGCCAGGTTAGCGCCTGCACACTCCCAGCACACACATGGGCACACACTTGGCACAGCCTTGCACACGTGTGTGCTTGTGTCTGACCTCACCTCATGCCTGCTGCTGTGTGTCCAGGTACCTTGGGGGTGTTTGCACCCTTGTGTGTGTTGGTTTGCACATGTGTGCTCTCCTTGGCACGTGTCATGGCTGATGCACAGGCTCTGTTCCCCCTTCCCTGCTGTTGCTGTGGTGACTAATGGCCTGAAATTGGGGAGTGGGGATGGGGCTGCCTGGGGTTTTTTTTATACATTTATGTATAATTTTATATTTCTCTCTGTAAGCACCTTCATCCCCTTCTCCATTTCATGGGTGCTGGGGTGGGCATAGAGTTTTGCAGCAGGGGTGAACACCAGGGTTAGCCCCAGTATGGGATATCTGTCCCACTGATGCTGGTTTTGCCCCCTACCCAGACATGCTGCCCTCAGACCCGCTACAGCCCCAGCAGGACTCGTGGCTGAGCTTGGTGGACAAACTGAATGTCAAGGCCTTTGTCAGCCTCACCCTTGCACCCTCAGTGCGACACGGTGTCCGGCAGCTCCTCTTCACCTCTGGCCTTGGTAAGTGGTCCCTGGTCTGGATATGGCTGAGTGCCCATCTTGCTGTGCCTGTGGGCTGAGAAGTGCCAAGGGGTTTGGAGGCACCTGGATGGTCAATGCCAGAGCCAATTTTGCTCTTGGAGGCATCTGGAGTGAGTGGTGCTGCAGGCAGGTTGGGGTTTGGAAGTATCACCGTTGGCAGTGTTGAGGGACTTGAAGACACCTGGATGAGATATGCCAAGGGGTTTGGAAGCACCCAGTGGGGGCAGTCTTGAAGCTGAGAGAGGTATTGGGTGGGCAGTGTGAAAATCGAGTCAAGCCTTGGAGATATCTGGGTGTGATCCTGAGGGATCGGCAGGGTGAGCAATGCCAAAGTCAAGCCGTGGCTTGTTGACGTGTGCAGTGCCAGGAGGGCTAATGGAGCCCTCTGCCTCTGCTCATCTGGGCTGGTGCTGTCTCTCTGGCAGGCGGGATGCGCCCCAACACCCTGGTGCTGGGTTTCTACGACGACGAGGCACCACAGGATGGTCTAGCCCGGCACCCTGCCTTCACCAGCGCTCGTGAGGAGGTTCCCCTGGGCTTCCCCCCACTGCGGGCACCCACCTCTCCCAAACTGCTGTCAGCCCGGGAGTACGTGGGCATTGTGGCTGACGCCCTGAAGATGCTTCGCAATGTCCTGCTGGCCCGGCAGCTGGAGAGCCTGGACAAGGCCTGGGAGCTGCGGCGGGCCGCCAGCCCCCCGCCCACCATCCATGTCTGGCCCGTCAACCTGCTGCGGCCCGACAGCGCCCGCTACGCTGACACCTGCAGCCTGTTCCTGCTGCAAATGGCCTGTGTCCTCAACATGGCGCGGGCCTGGCGCCGGGCCCGCCTGCGCCTCTTCCTCTGCGTGGAGGCAGGCACCATGCCCCATGCCCAGGAGGAGAAGCTGCGCCAGCTCCTCAAGGACCTGCGCATCCAGGCCCAGATCCAGCTGGTGCCCTGGGATGCCATCACCCGCCTGCACTGGCAAACCTGCCAGGGACCCCCAGGAGGGCCAGCGGAGGAGGAGGAAGAGGAGGAAGGGGTTGTGAACTTCCCAACCAACACCACCCAAGTGTCGGACGAGTATGTGTGTGCCGCCAACAAACTGGTCCTGGAGCAGAGCCCCGCGCCAGCCGTGCGCTTCCTGTACTTGCCGCGGCCGCCGGCCGACACCAGCCTTTACCCTCTCTACCTGCACCAGCTGGAGCTGCTCACCCGTGGGCTGGGCCCCACCGTGCTGGTGCACGGGGTGAGTGCTGTCACCAGCACCCAGCTCTAGGTGACCCCCAGGTTCCCCCCAACTCCCTGCACACTCCTTTGCCCAGTGCCTTCAGCAGCCTGAGCCTGGGGATGGTCCCAGTGTCTCCATCCTGGTGGGCAAAGAAGGTACCCTGCAGTGAGAGGTGGGTGCAGGGAGGGGGTTTGATTTTCGGGGATCTCTCCTGTAGAGGATTAAAGCTGCCCTGGCAGGATCCCAGCACAGCTCTGGGGCTGGATGGGCAGCACAGTGCATTCACGGTGCCTTTTCTTGGGGTAGGGCATAGCAGGGTCCTGGGGGAGCCAAGCACTGGGTGTCCCAGTTGTCTGCTGGCAGCCCCTTAGTACCCCCTCTGTACTTCCTCCCCTGCCGCAGCCCCCATCCTCTCCTCCGCCAGCTCCTCCGGGCACCCAGCCAGCAGCGGGGATTGATTAAAGGCAGCCTCGACCTTGGTGCCCCAGCTCCCCGCCATCCTCCTGCCTTTCATTAGGAAAAATTAAATGGGAAAGGGTGGGGGAGGGGAGCCTGGAGGCCTGGGCTCCCTGTGTGAGGCTGGGGCTGGGTGGGTGGGGGAAGCAGCCGGGTGCTGGCCCTAATGGCTGCAGTGTATGGCACCCTAGATCTCGCTTAGTACCCCCAGTGCTGCTGCATGGGGGGCACCCAGATGCTCTAATCTGTAATCCCCCCCACCCCTATGGGTGCTGATCATCTGGTTCTGGCAGGAAATGGGAAAATAATTTGTGGTGGGGTCCTTACCCACACACTTGGGTCTCCTGACCTGTTTCTTGGGGCATTGTTATTTCTCTACATGCATCATGACCTGCAGGGGGAAGCTGGCCTTGCCCCCTGCCTTCCTTTATTGATTAGAGGAGGGCAGGAAATTGCCTGGGTGTTGGACAATAAATCCATCGGGTGCCTGGCGGGTGGGCAGTGTGCCCAGTGCTGCCTGATGGATTGCTTCCTATTAGCCCCAGCACGGGGGGCTGCTCCCAGCCAGGCTAGGCTCCAGCAGGGGTGACAAGTGTGGCACTGCTGCCTGTGCCTGCTCTCACCAAACTTGGCACACTGCTGGCTGGCAGCTCTGGTCAGGCAGAGGGCTGGAAAAATCCAGATGGTTGGGTGCAGCTGGGGGCAAAAAATGGTGGAGACCCACATTTTGCAGTGGATTGTGTCCTGGCTGGGGAGGAGGGCTGGGGCTGGCTTTGCTCCCTGCTGCAGGACCTGGGTTGCCCTGGGGTAGGCACCACACATCCCACAGGATTTATTTACAAACAGTCGGAAGCTGGCACAGGGCAGCCTGGCACCAGCGGGACCCGGAGGCCTATAATGTTAATTATCACCACGTAATTAAAAGCCCATAAAAAGCCTCACACTTCATTAAATTAAAGCTTCCCCTCACTGTGCCCATGGGCTCCAGCAGAGTTAACCTTGGCCATGCCGGGCACCAACACCTCTGCAGCTGGGACCCGGGGCTGGGGGTGTATGGGAGCACAGGCTCTGGACCGTGCAGCCCCCCCCAGCATTGTAGGGGGGTGCAGCATTGCACGTGCATGGGCACCCTGCAACACCAGTTGTGTCACTCCTGGGGCACATACCTGGGCACACCCAGGGCTGCCGTCCCAGTCAGAGATGCCCATGCATGGGCATGTGTGTCCATGGCACTGCTGCAGACACACTGTCACACACACCGTGGCATGGGCAGGGGGCTGACATGGGCACACACAGCCAGGTGTGCACATGCAGCATCGTGGGCACTGCAAAGGCAGCACCGCATGCCAGCACCGCGGCTCCGGCAAACCAGCTCTGGCACGCAACGCCCACGCGGCACACACCTACACAAACAGCATTCTTCCTCATTCTCAACAGCCAGAGGTGCAGACAAACAGCCACACTCACAGCCTGCATCTCCTCCAGACTCCCACCCGTTGGTGTCTGTGCCCAGAGGGAATGGGCTGTGAGAGCACCCATCTGTGCCTGCCCTCTCTGTGCCTTGATTTCCCCGAGTGCTGGGCTGTGCTGGGGTACAGCAGGGTGAATGAGGGACCCCCAAAACCTCCTGCCAGCTGAGTGCTCTGGATCAGGGCTGCTATGCCAAGGTGTGGGGGGATACAAAGTGGGGAGGAGGCCCACCAGCACACAAGGAGGGGTGTGTGTACATGTTCAGGCAGGGATATGCGTAAACTAGGAGTGTGTGTGCATGTGCACATGGGAGGGGGTGCTGTGCTGAGGGCTGTGCATGAGCATGAGGGGTGTCTGTATGTGCACACATACTGGTGTGGGTGTATATACCCACCCCTAGGTGTGACACGAAGGGGGAGCCAGGAGAGCACACACCCTTATAAACTCGGGGTGTGCAAACTGGCACACGCATCTGCCCAGAACCCCAGGACTCCACTGCCAAGTGGGGCCGTGGGCAGGGGGCTGCGGGGGTGGGTGCCCATGCCCCGGCCCTGCAGGGGTGGGCAGCCAACAGGGCCTCGGCTATTTCTTGGAAATTTTGCAGCATTCATTTCAGTGCAAATAAAAGCTGTCATTGCTGGAGAAATGATACTGATCGGGGTCTGAAAAGACAGCAAATTACCCGCCTGAAAATGCACCGCTGGAAAAAAATGCATATTAAACACACAAAAAGGCACT